ACCGACTGCCCTGCATCCATTAGCATGTTGTATGGTTTGAGCTTCCAACAACTGAATTTTCAAAACTGTATCTAATGCTTCTCACTGGTGAGATACCTTAAGAAAATCATTTGAGGATGGCTATTTTTGGTGGTGAGAAGATTGTAGAGAAATTATTCATTCTGCTATTCTTTAAAAAAGGTAAAGCTTTGCCTTAGGGAAAGGACTGCAATTGGAGTTCTGCTTGTTTCCCTTGTGCCACTGTTTCCTATCATGTGTCTTGAGGAGTAAATGTTGTCAGCATGTACTTTTTCCAAAACTGAAATTATGAAATATCTCTCTCCATGTTGAGCAGTTGCCTAAGGTCTTCTTCTAGATGTCAGGTGAATGTTTTCTGAACTTGGGAAATAATGATCTCTGATACCCAGGTGTTTCCATACTGGCTCCCAACAGGTACTCTATGCTGCTGCATCCAAACAGGTCTGGGGAAGGGAGGTGGTTGCAGGCAGCAGGAACATCAGTCCTGTTTCTCATACCATCACTTAAATAGAATGTTTTATTTTGCAGTACACTTTAATACATGAAAGCTAAACAATTTTGTTTAGATTAGTCTGCTCTACTGTCATCAGTATGAAATTCAACTGTGTTGCAAATGAAAGTGGGAAGGCCAAAAGGTGAGACCGAATGTAACTTCCCCCTCTACAAGGTATGTGCATGCAGTATCAAACAGCTGTGTACTGTGCACAGTTCTCCCAGCACACCTTGGTACTCTGCAAGGGTAAGTTTGGCAAGAGGTCCTCTGACATTACAGAGAATCTATTTTTCTGCTCTTTAAGCGGTAACGGCAGGCATTTGTTCATGGGTGCTGCTCTGGGAATACATGTAGGAGTATAGAGATTTTTTGTTTGCACACCAGGTTAAATGGAATCCCTCTGAGATAATGACTTCTGTGGCTGCCAGCTTTTGGACACCTACAGCTGAATGGTGCTCCCACAGCATCTTGTTGGTTTTTCTCCTTTCTTTGGTCTCTGGTAGCACTGTGTAGCTTGTTGCTGCTTCCAGAACTTAGGTGTTACCAATAGCATGATGTTGAAAAGGCTGGTAAAGAAGTTGTCTATTTACCAAACACATATAAATATATGTTTCTTTTCTGGGTTAAGTAAAGGTGACCCGTCCACCTATGTCAAAATCAGTAGGTTTTGACTCAGTAAAGGTTTAGGCCAATTGTGAGGGTCGAATTTCAATTGGCAGATGCTGCTAGTAATGTCGCGTGATTCCCATCCTACTATCCAACTTGAGACATGAGTGTGCATTACAATCAAGTTGGCAGTTACATAAAGTGCTTAGAGGTGATTTTAACAGAACCGAATAGAGGTGATTTTAGCAGGACCAAAGGTGCGATTGTTAACTCTTTACAGATTTTGAGCGAGATTTACTCACAAAGATATGAAGTATGTCTACTGAGGAGAATAGGGCCATATTACATAATCTCCTCGCAATTCTTTTTTGTCTAGATTTGGAAATGCCCATGTCTGCGAGCAGTGAGTAGTTGCCTTCGTACCATTTTCCACGAGAACCCAGGGGAAAGCCCATAAATTTAATTTTGGATGAATTTGTTAGTTCTTGAATTTGGTCTTTTAAGTGTTTATACTTATTTACTTTTTCTGATGCAGCTTCCTGCAACGTTTCAATTTTACTTTCATATCTGATTGTTACATCTACCACCACTGCTGTGTCATCTTTTAGAAATATTAAGTCTGGTTTGTACAATTCATTTTGGCTATCTCTGATCAATGGTTCCCAGTAAGCAATCCAATTTTTCTTTTTACCCTCCTCAATTAACATATTGCAAATTTTATTGTGCCTTTTAATTCTGGCATCTTGTACAATAGGACATAGGCCAATTATGTGGGCGAAGGTTTCATTTTCAGCCTGACAATGACGGCAAGATTTATTATAAGTCGATTGCCTGCCTCTCACTAGGAATTCTCGGGTAGGGCATACATTTGCTCTTAATTGGAGCGCAGTGATTAGCTTTCTGTGAGGAATGCCCCTGTAATGTTCAATCCAAGAGTTACTAATGTCCTTTTCAAAGTTTTCTATGCCTCAGACCTGGGATAGCAGTTTAGTCCAATTTTTGAATTCCTGATTACGCCAATTGCAGGGTTTTGGAAAGACTCTCCTTGGTGTGGGTCTCTCCCATTCAGAGTCCTCCTCAAGAATTAATCCCTTAGCAACCGTTATAACTGTTCTGGGTCCCATACGGACGGGACCTTTTCCTTATCTCCACCTGCTGCAATCCACAGGTTTTTTAACTCTTTCTCAATGTTCTTGTTACTGGCTATTTCCCGGATGGTCTCATCGGAGGACTGTGCGATTCTATGGATTCTTCTTGCTTGTACACTGGGGATTAGGCCAGCAAGGCGAGTTAGACCTAATCCTCCATCTTTTGAACTGGAGTAGAGCACAGCATCGGCTGTACTTGGGGGAAGGTGTAACCATCTTTTAACTGTGTTCCTAATTGGTAAGTCTAATGACTCTAGGTATGTGGGTTTAGTGTCTGAGTGGTCTGCCAGGTAGATGATTCTTGGGATAGTGTAAATTCTTAGTATGTCGATCTTTTGGAATGGTTTCAATGGGGACCTTTCTATTCTCTGTAACCAGTTTGTCATTTTGTCAAGTAACTTTGGTTTTGTTATACCGACCCAGGGGTCAATGAACAGTCCTAGGTATTTCTCAGTGGTGTTTGTATGAATCATATTGAGGAGAGTGCCTTTGATAGTCCATGGGGGACAGTCATTGATGGTATATGAGACTTTTATCGGCCGGATGTAAAAGCCATGACACTTTTCCCCTTGTGTTTTGAGGCCTGTCAGGTCACAGAATATTCTAACAATGTCCAGATTCTTTTGCATCCCCTCCCAAGAGCTACTTAATAGCACTAGATCGTCGGCGAATGCCATAGTTATTTGCGTCAAGTGGTGTTGATAACCAAGACCTTCCTCCTCCAGCTTGCACAGGAGAGGGTCTATAGCTAGGCTGAATAGGATCGGAGACATCGAATCAGCCTGCTTAACACCGATCTGGATCTTAATGGTCTCTGACTGCTCCTTCTTCGTATCGATGTATGTTTTGGTGTTCTTGTACATGTTGGAGATGAGGTTGATGATGTGATTGTCCACCCCTTTCTGTTTTAGGACTTCTATTATGTGGGCATGGCTGACGGTGTCGAAGGCCTTGGCAATGTCAATGAATACCACTCCCAGGGGCCGTTGTTCAGTCTTTGCATGTTTTATCAGTAGCTTCAGGAGTTTCGGGTTTTCAGAACATCCTGATGATCTTATGAATTCCCTCTGTCTTGGATTAATCGGGCATGCTTTTGTTATTCTCGCCGTCAGGATCCTGGAGAACAGCCTCAGGACTATTGATCCGATCGTAATTGGTCGCCAGTTACTGATGTCAGTCTGACGTTCTGGTAAGGCTGATTTGGATATTAATACTATTCTGCGTTCCTTGATGACGTCTGGAATGGTGCCTGATAGTAGCCACAAGTTGAATAGCTCCATCAGCTGCATGTAGTCCGGATCCATCCCTATGAGGTGCCTCATATCTAATCCATCCGGCCCTGGGGCTGCATTCTTGCTCATCTCTTTGATGTTTTTCTTGATCTCCTTGGTTGTAATCATTAATTCAAAGGCGGTGTTGTCTGATCTGCCCCTTGAGAAGAAGCCACCTAGACCTGGAACAATCCTGTTGTTTCCCATCTCGTCTTGAAGGTCTTGTGTAATTCTTCCAGGGGGATGTTGCATCTTAAGGATTCCACGTCATCCAGTATGATACTGGCCAGCTTCCTTCTGTCCATTTGGAATAGACGTTGGAACCTCAGGAACTGTCCCCTTTTCCTGGCTCTCTTCTTCATCCATTACGTTGATGTTTTTGTAGAATGGGCTTTTTGGGTCACCTGGTGCTTCTTCTCTTGGGTGGCCTTCGTTTCCTGCGATAGGTTCAGGCGATATTTTTAAAACTTACTCCTCTACTACATTCCTTTACTCCCAATTTACAATTTCCTTTGCTCCCATCTCACCACCATCACTGTATACAACCTGTCCTACCGTGACCAGCACTGAAGTGTTATGTTAGCCACTTGAACCACCCATCATCATAGGATACCTCAGGTACTCAGACATCACTATCTCCAGGAAGAACAAGTACATGTTTTACACTCAAATTAGGAGATTTAGAAGTTATTTTTTTAAACAGCAAAAGTGCTTTTTAAGCTTAATGTTCACCAACTAAACCCAAAAACTTCCTAAGTCAATGTAAATCTTATTTTGGGTATCTACAAAGATATCTTAGTAATGTAATTCTGCATGAAAACAGTGCCATTAGTTCTGTGTTTTAACATTATCTCCTAATCCTATGTGTCTGTTAAAAAGCCAAAGTTCTTTAAAGCTTTTAGTTGTACAAAACAGCCCTAGTTTCAAGCTGCCATTCAGTTTTACTTCAATTGAATAGCTGCTACATGCATGTATGAATTAGCTTAACATTTATTACCTGTGTTTAAACACAGAATTTATGATACTGAAAACAAGTTTCTCTCTGAGAAATCATGGGGAAGTAGAGAAAACATTACATTGTCATCTTATGAATGTAACACCCTACCCTTTTCATTTACATATCACAGAGAAAGGAACCCAGAGCTCAAACTAAGTCAAAGTTTTTAATCTTCAAATAAAACCCACAACTGTACATCCTGTCTGTATTAAAATACATTTTGATCCAAAAATCAAAGCCCAGTGGACTGCTTATTTATTCTTACTGCTCCTCTGTAATAGTGAACAGTTCCAGTGTTTCATTTTAAAGATGAGTAACAGCCTGTGTAGAAGTGATTGTTAATTTTTCAAGAGAAAATTAAGACTTTACAGAGGATTTTTTCTTCTTATAGCAACATGAACAAAAGCATTACAAATTGGCCTGCATGCCTTAAAGTATAAAAATAAGGTGAGTAAATGGAAATTTATTTTTATGTTACTAACAAGGCTCACTTCAGATCCAGTACCTTGCTTTAATCATGAAGACATCCAATTTTTCAGTCAACTTTATTGATAAAATAAGTTACTCTGCAGTACACAACTCTGGTCATAAATGCTTCTCAAGCCACCTGCATTACAAAAATAACAGGTATGCAATGAAAAATAGTCACTCCACACACTGTGACTTTGAAATCCTAAAGTGATCAGGTCAGGGTAATGACACGGGAGACATAGCAAACCCAAAGACTAGGAGTAGATAAGTCACTTTTTTTAAAATTTACAAAAATAAACACTAATCAAGCATTACATCATAACAGAGCAACCTTAAAGAACTGCCACAGACTAACAACCCTTCTCTGCTATACAACTCTGGAAATTGTATGTGAAAGACAAACCAGAAAGTAAGCCATGAAACTTCATTCAGCATTAAATGGATAGAACTGCCAATACCAGTCAATGGCTGAAAAGACACTTCTAAAAAGAGTAACTTAATCAACTGAACACAAATGTTCTTGTAATTTTGCAACAACAAACCACTCCATTAAAAAAAGATGTTGCTTCTAATAAGTCACCAGCTTACAAGCTACAGTAGAAATACAAAATCTATAGAAGCATTGGCAAGGTTTTACAGATAATAACAGCAGACAATTATGTTTTTGCGCTTGAGCTAAAATCTTCCCCAAAAATTTCCCCCCCAATGTTTAGCAAGTTTGGAAGTTTCCCCATGCACATGAATGTCCTCAATATATTCTTAAGCCTGGAAGCATCTAAGATGCTCTGGAAAGAGAAATAGCTGTTTATAAAAAATGCTGTGAAAGTTTGGAGAGCTTGATTTACCTGTCTTTTCAACTGCATTTCCCAGCATATGTACTAGTTCATTCAAAACTGGCTTTTATGGTCTCTGCTAAACACTCCTTTCCCACCCCTTCACTATTTTTTTCTTTTAAAAGCACTATGAGAAGGGGGGCAGCAACTGATAGCAACAGAGCAAAAAATATTAAGCTCCCTATAAATTAGCCCACTGGCCACTGAGAGTTCACCCTTAGACCTGTGGGGTATTTACCCTGAGCCCAGGGAAGCTGCACTACATCAAAGCAAGTTGTATTTAAAACTGACACACTTAAAAGTGCTCGATGCTTAATTCTTTTTGCATTGTTGTAACTGAAAATCAAATCTGATCAAGCAATACTTGATTTCAGACTAGGAGTTCAACTCACTTTGCTAGATGAGTTATTAAACAGCCGAAATATTTAACAGTGGGTGGCATTTGTAGATCTACAGTTTTCTGTGATTGAAAGCTTTGACTCTGCTTCTTGAGTATGGTTTCATGTAAAGAATGCAGTAACATGCTGGACAAAAAGTGATGATACACATCAATTGTAGGAATGTCCTTTCTGCCTTGACTACAAAGTGATAATCTAATAAACAAAAGCCAAATATGAATTATTTTGGCACCTCTTTACTACAAGTCTGTCGTATGTAGCACTTCTGTTGTATGTAGCACTTCTGTTGTATCTGCATATGATACAAGCTGTACTTTGATCTAGGAAAACCAACTCCTTTTCACTTCTGCAAGTATTTCAGGATTAAAAGTGAGCAGTCTATTTGTCAGTATAGCATATTGAAACTTTTCCTAGTACAAATGTAACACATACCTGAAACTTACCTAAAAATCTTATTGATGACTAGTACTTATTGATTGCAGGCATGTAGGCTGCCATCTTTGCCACAGCTTTTTCCGCCTTCCCCTAACTTACCTTTTTGCTGTTGCTGTTTGGTTGCCTTCAAATTGCCATTTCTCAGTTAGGAAGTTTTTTCAGCTAGCGGTTGGGGAAGAAATAGATGGGACTAATGTGGCTTCTTACCTACAGAAAAATGAACCCCGTTTTCTCTCATAGAAGTGAAAGCTAAGGCAGAATTATACTGAATTACCTGTGTTCCAGAAAGCACTAAAGTGGGATCAGCTCTTCTCATGTTCTGAAAGTACAATTAATTGTACATAGTTTAAAAAAATCTTGTTAATTTTTTTTTTTTTTTAAATTGAACTGTAAAAGCATTGCTTATGTCTAAACAATTGGCCTTGAATTTGAACAGGACACCCTGTGGCTAAATAACAGAAATCCTTAAGTTTTATGCTGCCTATGTACCCTTTCTATTAAACAGGTTTGTTGCAAAATGAGAATTTATTAAAAACTTACTAAAAGGAAAAAAATGTTATGTGGATCATGCACAAAGCACATTCAAAATTTAAAACTTTTCAGCCAGAGATCACTTTAAATCTTACCTTTATTATATAAGAGGTGCACTGAAACTTTGTATGAGCAATAATTTACATAAATTATGTGAAATCTTGTCTTTTATCTGCAAAATGACTTTATAAAAATAATTCCTGATTCAGCAAGTGCATTAATCCATTTCCTACTGAAGTTAGATCTACGGCAATTAATCTGTCACTAAGGTTTTTGTAGAATACCAATATTTATTTATTTTACACAATATATAAGCCACTAAACTGGACTTTAAGATGCTTTAGCTTGCTGGTGCCTATTCAGTAACAAGTGCTTGACAAGTGCCCCTGAAAATTCATTTGTAAAGTGTGCAATTGAAGCTTGTTGACTTCCATAGTCTTTAGCTTTTCCTCAGGCTCAAATCACTGCTTGTTACTAATCCTGACAGAGATGTGCTCTCTGATGCATCTTCTTTCTTGAGGTTCAGAAATGATTCTCTGGTTATTTGAAGAATTTCTCTCAAGCCTTTATTTTCTTGCTATAACCAGAGAAAGAAAAAGGTATTTAATAGAATTCAAGAAAGAAGTCAACACAGCCACACTAATAACTCTCCTCCCCTCTACTCCAAACATATGTATAAGGTTTAATGTGCTATGTTACCTTCTAAAACTAAGAATATTAGGTTTCTGACCCTCTTGCTCTCTTGAATGGGCATTAAGCATAAAAAAAAAAAAAAAAAAGAGATGGGCAAGAAAAGGGTAATTAAGTTAAAATGTTGCATTTCAAAAATATTTCCCTTTCTTTCCACAAACCCTACCCCACAATGAACTGCTTTGCTAGCACTTAAAAGAGTAATAGTGTTGATCCTCCAATGCTAAGCAACAGAGAATTCCCCCAAAGGCACAAGATTATTATTAAATAAAAATTTGAAAGCCAAAGGTGTGGGGAGTATTCGCATCCTAGTGTCTTACTGTCATGGTTTAAACACAGCTGGTAGCCAATCACCACGTGGGCTGTTGCTTACTTCCCCCCACCCCATGAAATAGGGGAGGGACAAAAAAAATATTCATAGATTGAATAAAAAAAATTAGTAATAGTAGCAAAACAGAGTAACAATAGTAAATCCAAATGGGTAATATACAATGAAGTTGCTCACCAACTGCTGACTGGTACGCAGCCCGCCCCCAGAAGCGATCCCACCACACCGACTAGAAAATGGAACTGAGAGAGCACGTGTCTACTTTATACACTGAGAATGACATCACATGATATGGAATACTCCAATGACTGATCCAGACCCCTCAGCTGTGTTCCCTCTCAAGCCCAAGGAGTTAACTCTATCCTGGCCGAAACCAGGACACTTACTAGGATGAATTTGTATTATTTGCTAGCTTTTTGCTACACTACAGAGATGTCAAAAAAGGGAAAACTTAAGCCAGTGTGTAAGTACAAATCATTGATTTCTGGTGATGAAGTATCACCCGTGCAAGACTTGAGAGTAAACTACAGTGGGGAAGAGTACTTACAGTCCTCCAACAAGAGAAGTGTAACAAAATAGCAGTGTGATTGATAGAGTAACTCATAGGAAATACAGTAATTTAACATAAATAACTGTGATAATATATACTCCCTTGCTATTTGTGCCATTGCTGTTTTGACTTAATAGTTACCTCAAGCTGAATGATACGTTCCTGCTCTTTACAGCCATGCTTTTCATCAATTTCAATGGCTTTTCTCATTACTGCTGCCATTTCTGTAATTTGGTCCACATGCACTTGCAGCTCCTAAGACAAAAATTAAACAGTGACAGCTTTAGTTATATTTTCTGCATCATTAAAAATAAGGAAAGCATTAAATGTGCATTTTAACTGCTGTGCCACTTAAAAATGTGGACACAAACCCAAATTTCAGAAAACAAGCTCTCTGTAACTTTACAGCAGACACTGTTGTCCTGTTCATTTAAATAAACCTGGTTTGCCACACAGCAATCCCTTTTATTAGAATTTTAAGTTAAAAAAATGTGCTTAAATGACTGTCTTCCACAGCTTCCATGTCCTCCAAATGGCTACAAGGTAGCCACATGCCTGCTCTGACAAGACCTTCCTGCATTGTAGGAACTGATGTATATCATTTTGGATACACAGAAAGACTAAACTCATCTAAGATATGCAACATTTGTCTCATATGCTTGAAATCTGATCCTAAATCTGGTATAGCCAGTACCAGCCCAGGGGTAGGCATTCACCTCTTAAAAAGACCAGGTGAAGTGGTCATACTTGCTATGTCATATATTAGGGAACTCAGATCTGTCATTTGCTCTTATTTTAGATATTGTGCTTGAACCTGCTTCCAATTCCAGCTTATCCGAGACGTGAAATTCAGAGATCCTTGTTGAACCGTAAGAAAAACTTTTGTGTCTTGACTGATCTTTGTGTCTGTTCATTAATGCTAAGAGGGTACTTCCTTATTATAAATAACTACCACATCTCACTGAAAGACTTAAGGAGGGTAAAAAAAGAGCAGTGATTTGGTTTGTTCTTGTCCCATTCCACAACAAGGAGTGGGATGATAGGAGCCATTAAGAGAGGCATAACAGCCTTTGCAAGGAAAGTAGATTTTAGATAATCTTCACTCTTACTAGAGCCCCGTTGGTTCAGGTGATGGTTTATCTTCTCACTGGTCAACCTAGCAGCAGGAAATGCTTAAAGGGTCACTACTACTTTTCACCTGCAGATCTATATGAAGAGCCTATGCCTTTGGCATACGATGCTGTTCAACGAGGCCAAATATTTTAATGGTATTTTCAGAAGATTTTAATATTTGCTGTCTTTTCTTCAACTTCTCTTTCATTCCAATTCTACTATCATGCCAGCCTATCCATGTCTGACCTGACCTTTGGACAAGATTCACAACAGTTACTAACAAGAATCAGGAAAAGCAGAGCAGTAGGAATGAAATTAAGAACAGTATAGAATAAAGTTACATCCCACCTTTAAATTATGAATTTCACTGGAGGTCCATCATCTAGTAGATGATCAGCTTGCTTTTAAACTACCAAAAATGATTAAACTACCATAAAGAACTGCCTCATTTGGAATCATAAACTTTTTTTGACCCAAGAAAATATACTTTACTAAAGTGAACATCATTCGATCCTTCCCTCTCTCCTTTCCAATTGCCAAAACTATATCTTAGCTGTTTGCTTATTAAATGCTCACTCACAGTGGTGGGTGGGTGGGAGCAGAACTTGCTGAAAATTTTTTCTTCTCACTTTCCAGTGAAGGTGATTACATGAAACATTTTTGCAAGGAAAAACTAAATTTAGCTTGAAAAGAAGCTGTGATCAGTGGTAAAAGAATGAGTTGGCAAGGATGTAACATTGAGAAGGACTGGAAAGGAGTTTATGATTTTTAGATACACTGCTGTCCTCACTACTTCCTATTCTGCCATCTCATGTGGTCTCTTGATCAATATGATTTAGGGCCTGTTCCAATGTGTGCTGGTTTAAACCCTGACGGGACCAGAGATCACGTTGCTGTTGCCCTTCCCCCATCTTCAGCCAGTTGGGCTGGAAGTTAAGCACAGACCCCGGGCTAAAATAAGAAGAAATTTAATATAACACTGTGATAAACAATCTGAAAAACAACAGTAGCAATGATAACAACAATAAACAGCAATAACAGTGATGCAAGACAAAAGATATACAGAGAAATACCGCTAAATGTTCATGGAACAAGCCCGCCGCATATGTGTGCGTAACCCCAAAAGCAAAAGCGAAAGTAAAAAGGCTCCACCCCTGGACCTGACATCAGCATGGTATGAATAACCCGGCTGGAAATCCCTTACCCCTCTCTCTCTGCTGTGGAAAACTTGACCCTATCCCAGCTGAACGAGGGCATAATCCACCCATTTATTCTATACCATCTGCATCATGTCCAGCTGCCATTTAGCAGTTAACAATAATAGAGTAATAATTTACAAAGGCACAGCATAATTTACGGCATGTTCTAACCCAGAATCAAGTTCCCCTGTGGTACATATCGGACCTCTCTATTGTCCTGCATCAACCACCAGGTGCACCCAGGTCCTTGGGCAAAAGCAATCCCGTGGATGGGTTTGCCTTTACCTCTGCCTGGCACAGGACTAAACCAGACCATTTTTCCCAATCTATTCCTCATGCGCACCACAGGGACTTTATCCCCATCTACAGCACGTGGAGGTCTTGACTGAGCTGGGCCAGATCGACTGGCAGATGCTCTTTTGTTGACTATCCAGGTGGCCTTTGCTAGATGCATGTCACAGTCTTTGAAGGTCCCACCACCCAGTGCTTTCAATGTGGTTTTTAACAGTCCATGGTAGCGCTCGATCTTCCCAGAGGCTGGTGCGTGGTAGGGGATATGGTAGACCCACTTGATGCCGTGTTCTTCGGCCCAGGCATTTATGAGGTTGTTTTGGAAGTTGGGTCCCGTTGTCTGACTCAATTCTCTCTGGGGTGCCGTGTCGCCACAGGACTTGGGTCTCATGGCACAGGATGGTGTTTCGGGTGGTGGCACGGGGCGCTAGGTAAGCTTCCAGCCATCCAGTGGTTACTTCCACCATTGTGAGCACGTGGCGCTACCTGTGGCAGGTCTGTGGCAGTGTGATGTAGTCGATCTGCCAGGCCTCTCCATATCTATATTTCAGCCATCGCTCTCCGTTTCACTGGGGCTTCACCCGCTTGGCATGTTTGATTGCAACACACATCTCACATCTGTGGATGATCTCTGCAATGGTGTCAATGGTGAGGTCCACCCCTCGATCTCGAGCCTACCTGTATGTTGCATCCCTCCCTTGGTGGCCCGAGGTCTCGTGGGCCGGACCGGCTATGAACAGTTCACCTTTGCGCTGCCAGTCCGAGTCCACCTGAGCCACTCTAATCTTAGCAGCTTGGTCTGCCTACTGGTTGTGTGGATGATCATCAGTGACCCGACTCTTGGGTACAAGAGCATCCACATGGCGCACCTTCACAATGAAGTTTTCCACACAGGCTGCAATGTCCTGCCATACTTCAACAGCACAGACGGTTTTACCCTTACGTTGCCAGTTGTTCTGCTTCCATTGCTGCAGCCATCTCCACAGGTTATTTGCCAATGCCCACGAGTCGGTGTAGAGGTAGAGCCTCGGCCACTTTTCCCACTCAGCAATATCCAAAGCAAGCTGGATGGCTTTCACCTCTGCAAACTGGCTCGATTCACCCTGTCCCTCAACAACTTCAGTGACCCGTCGTGTGGGACTCCATACAGCAGCCTTCCATCGTCAATGTTTTCCCACAATACAAGACCCATCAGTGAACAGGGCACATTGCTTCTCCTCCTCTGGCAGCTTCTATATGGTGGGGCCTCCTTAGCATGTGTCACCTCCTGTTCTGGTGAAATCCCAGAATATTTGCTCTCTGGCCAGGTTGTATTTCACCTCTAGTATCTCTGGGCGGCTGGGGTTCCCTATTCGAGCCCGTTGTGTTATCAATGCAACCCATTTACTCCACGTGGCATCTGTTGCATGATGCGTGGAGGAGGCCTTTCCTTTGAACATCCACCCCAGCACCAGCAGTCGGGGTGCCAGGAGGAGCTGTGTTTCAGTGCCGACCACTTCTGAGGCAGCCCGAACTCCTTCATACACTGCCAGTATCTCCTTCTCAGTTGGTGTATAATTAGCTTCAGAGCCTTTGTATCCCCAGCTCCAAAAGCCTAGTGCTCAGCCTTGGGTTTCCCCAGGTGCTCTCTGCCAGAGGCTCCTAGTAGGACCATTCTCCCCAGCTGCAGTGTAGAGCATGTTCTCAACCTCCTGCCCTTCCCAGACTGGCCGGAGGGCTACTGCTTGGACAATCTCCTGCTTAATTTATTCAAAGGATTGTTGTTGCTCAGGGCCCCATTCAAAATCATTCTTCTTGCGGGTTACATGGTAGAGAGGGCTCACAATCAGGCTGTAGTTCAGGATGTGCATCCTCCAGAACCCCACAATGCCGAGGAAAGACTGAGTCTACTTTTTAGAGGTTAGTGGGGCCATGGCTGTTACCTTGTTTATCACCTCCACTGGGATGTGGCAATGCCCATCTTGCCATTTTATTCCTAGGAATTGAATTTCCCTTGTAGGCCCCTTTACTTTCTTTTGCTCAATGGCAAAGCCGGCCTTCAGGAGGATTTCAATTATTTTCTTCTCTTTCTCAAAGACTTCCTCAGCTGTGTTCCCCCATACAACGATGTCATCAACATACTGCAGGTGTTCTGGAGCCCCACCTTTCTCCACTGCAGTATGGACCAGTCCATGGCAAATGGTGGAGCTGTGGTTCCACCCCTGGGGCAATCGATTCCAGGTGTACTGGATGCCTCTCCAAGTGAACGGAAACTGTGGCCTGCACTCAGGCGCTATCGGAATGGAGGAGAACATGTTAGCAATGTCAATCGTGGCGTACCACTTGGCTGCCTTCGACTCCAGTTCATACTGGAGCTCTAGTATGTCTGGCACTGCAGCACTTATTGCTGGCATAACTTCATTCAGGCCACGGTAGCCCACAGTTAGCCTCCATTCGCCATTAGGCTTTCTCACTGGCCATATATGACTGTTGAAGGATTTGAGTGATTTTGCTGATCACCTTCTGGCTTTCTAGTTGACGGATCAGCTGATGGATGGGGTCCAGGGAATCTCGGTTAGTGCAGTACTGCCGCCGGTGCACCGTCCTGATAGCAATCAGCACTCACTGCTCCTCAACCTTAAGCTGCCCCACCACTGAGGGATCCTCTGAAAGGCTGGGTAAGGTGGACAACTGTTCAACCTCCTCCAGGGCAGCTACACCAAAAGCCCACTGGTACCCTTTTGGGTCTTTGAAGTACCCTCTCCTGAGATAGTCTATGCCCAGGATGCACGGGGCATCTGGGCCAGTCACAATGGCGTGCTTATGCCAGTCCTTCCCAGTCAGGCTCACTTCAGCTTCCAATAGGGTCAGCTGTTGGGATCCCCCTGTCACTCCGGAGATGCAGATGGATTCAACCCCACTGTAGCTCGATGGCATCAGGGTGCACTGTGTGCCAGTGTCCACCAAATCCTTATATTCTTGTGGGTCGGACGTGCCAGGCCATCGGATCCACACTGTCCAGTAAATCCGATTTTCCCTTTCCTCCACCTGGCTGGAGGCAGGGCCCCTCTAATCCTGCTCATCATCACTCACTTCTTGTGAGAATGATTTACTGGTCCCCTCAAGAGAGTCAGACATAACGTTCACCATTCTATTCTGTCTGAGGGATTTCTGACTAGACACTGGAGCTTCATTCTTCTTGGAGGACTCCCCTTTTGTGATGGTCTTCCCTTTCAGCTGCTCTACTCGTACAGCTAGGGCAGCAGTGGGCTGTCCATCCCACCTCCTCATGTTCTCTCCATGGTCGTGGAGGGAAAACCACAGGGTGCCTCTTGGTGTGTGCCTTCTGCTGCCTTTCTCTTGGGTGGGAAAACCTTTATTTCTAATGGCTGAGACATCAGCCCATGCAGGTAGAATGTGGGACATGTCCTCTTCCATTTTTTGGATCCTCTGAGACAGATCCTCCACAGCTGAGACCCAGGAATGCTGAGATGAAGGGAGATTTCCCTCATATTGCCGGAGCTTGCCAACCACTTTATCTATTGTTTGAGTGTGGGTGTCTGTCCACCAGGACACTATTGCCAATGCTTTCGAGTGTGCTTCTGGTGCACTTTTCAGGAACTTTCGCCACATCAGTTGTGTGCAAGGGGCCTGATCTGGATCCATGGGTGAATGCTCATCATTCAGATCACCATAGATCATCTCAAACACAGCCAGTTCCCTGAGGTTTTGGATGCCTTTCTCAATGCTGGTCCATTTGCCTAGCTGACTTAGGATATCGCCCTTGTAGGGGTACCTCTCTCTTACACTGAGCAGGAGTCACTTCCAAAGGCTGAGAGTTTGAGTCTGTTTCCCTATTTCCCTATCAATGCCAGCATCCTTGGCCAAAGATCCCAGCTGCTTGGCCTCTCTCCCCTCCATTTCAAAAGCACTGGCTCCATTGTCCCAGCATAGGAGCAGCTAGGTGCAAATCTGCTCACCTCCCAGGCGGCCGAAATCTCTCCGCATATCTCCAGCTCAGTCGGGGATAGAGATCGGATGATCACCTCTGGTCCTTCCTCCTGTTCCTGTGATGGGCCTGGCTCTTTCCCATCCCTCACTCTGCAAACTGACTTTCTGGTATATTTTGTTTTCTGTATCGGGGTGACTGATACTGGCACTGGCTGGCGCTCTGGCTCGGTAGCTGTGCTGGTGGAGGCGACTGAGACTGGCTCAGTATCTGGACCGGGGGTCAGGCAGTTTCACTGAGTTCACTCTCAGGTTCTGTAGCCTTTTCTTCCCCTTGAGGGCAGTGGGTGTTATTAAGCAGGACATGGTATGCATGGGCAAATCCCCAACACATTGCAGTGATTTGTGTCTCCTGGGTTTTGCCAGCTTGGTAACACACCCTTTCTAAGCACTCCATCAGCTTATCAGGGCTCTGCACTTGCTCAGGAGTGAAATTCCAAAGCATTGGAGGTGCCCACCGACTCAGGCCTTTGCCCATCTTTTCCCACACCCCACTCACGCTTATCTGACCTCAAGGCAGGTTTCTGGGCACTGCTGTTGTTAGAGAAGTGCCTCATGGCCAAAATCAAAATCAGGCAGACATTCAGAAGGCATTGTGCCACAAACACACTGGCTTGCTGGCTCCAAGGATAACTGAAACTCCCCAAAGTCAAGAGGATCTCTTCCCCTGGCTCACCCATAGAGGGTGTGACACCCCTAATTAAAGCCCAAACAGCAAACAGGTACCGGCCCACCCCCACACACAGCGATACAAAGGCATTATAAGCATTCAATAGCCCATATAACAACATAAGACCCTTCATACATTTTCCACCGATAACAAACGCCACCACTGGGATAATACACTGGATATAAGGATTAATCCAGCCCCACCACACAAGCAAGTTGGCCAGCATTGCAAACATTTTCTCATCAAACAAATACAAAAAGAAAAATTACAGCCAACAGATTGCTCTATCACACTTCGTTCAGGGTCTAGCACTCGAGCCCCACATTGGTTAGCCAATGAAGACTGTGCTGGTTTAAGCTCTGCCGGGACCGGAGAGCTAGTTGCTGTTGCCCTTCCCCCACCCTCAGCCAGTCGGGCTGGAAGTTAAGCACAGACCCCGGGCTAAAATAAGAAGAAATTTAATACAACAGTGTGATAAACGATCTGAACAACAACAGTAGCAATGATAACAACAATAAACAGCAATAACAGTGAACAAGATAAAAGATATACAGAGAAATACCGCAAAATGGTCAGAGAACAAGCCCACTGCATGTGTGTGTGCAACCCCAAAAGCAAAAGCGAAAGTAAAAAGGCTCCGCCCCTGGACCTGACATCAGCATGGTATGAAAAACTTGGCTAGAAATCCCTTCCCCCTCTCTCTGCTGGGGAAAAATTGAGCCTGTCCTAGTTGAAACCAGGATACAATGTCAGTAACATTAAATCATATGGTAACACAAAACTGTAAGGTTCTACTCTGGAAGGCCAATGTGTGAAAAATAAATGCTGTAATACCAAAGAATCTAATGCAAGTGTTTCTTTATGAAGATAGCCTCAAACATCTGTGACTACTCTTTGCACCTCTCTCCTTTTTGCTTGCCATACACTGATTTTTTTTTCTCTGAAGAGGGGAAAAAAAAGTTCCACGTGTTTTTAGGCCTTGTTTTAGCTGAGCAAATTCAAACAGCACACTTAGATCAGGGTCTTTACTACCAAGTAACACTTTTCTCTTGCATACAACACTGCTAAAAGAAATTGGTCTTCTATTTAAAGGAGGTGCTTGTTGATCTGCAGAAATTTTGTAATCATCTGTTGTAAATAGGCATTAAAGTTAATAGCTGGTACTTGAGAAAACAGCAATTACCAGAAACAGCGAGATTAATTCCTTAGGTATGATGGATTTTTTTAGTTAAGGAGAGAAGTATTTAAAAACTTCTTACTGAATGTGAAGGCAAGGCTGATCGAAGAATAAGTAATGAAATTCCAGAAATCCTAAGTGTCAGGTTAAGGGTGATAAATCCTCTTCATCAGACATTCTTGTGGGATCATATTTAACCAAAATGTTGAAGCCTAAATCTCCTGGGTTTTTTTGTTTGGTTGGGGTTTTTCTACCCTAAGCTTTTAATCCATAGGAGTGAAATGAAATTTCAAAGTCCATTTCAGGACAGACATTTTTACCATCTTGTCTTGGTACTCCTGAGGTGGTAAGATGTTATACTATAGGCTAGTATAACTTCTTTTGAAAAAGGTATATACCTGTCATTTTTTAGGAGTTTGTTAAAGATACTGTTCTAATCCAGTAAATTTTTTCATACCAATCTAAATAGTCCCACTGATTTCAATGGCACTAATTACATACACATGACTTTGTAAGATAAGAAAGCAAATTCTTAAACTTTGTTTTCCCTGTATGCAGACCCTAACTGTGCTTTTCAGACTTAGTTTGTTGAGGTCAAAGATTATTAAGCACTTAGAACTAATGTTTGTCTACACAGTTACTCTGTCCTCAGATTACATTTCATTTAAAATGTAATACAATGTTTCGTTAGAAAGCTCCCATTTAGATCTGTTAGTGGCCTAGAACAATGAATTTTCCTGAAAATACATTAAAAAAGCCTAAACTATATATTAATGTTATAAAGCATATATTAATATTATATGAAGCTGCTGAATACTCATATATGCCTCACTGATGATAGTTTACAAAAATGTTGCTTAATGGCACTTAGTTTTCTAGTTTTCAAAAGCCATAAAATGGAACACACCAAATACCAGCAACTTTCACCACCCTTCAAACATCTGAGGCTGCCCTGGATTCTACTTAGAAGTCCTCATCAGTACTGAAACAAGAACCAAGGGTTGCAGCAGGAAAGAGAAGTGCATGTTCAGTTACCCAATATTCAAAAGGCTTTTAAATTTATTTTTTAATTTTTCAATATTTTAAAGTTTGGAAAAAAGTTTGTATATTGAATTTAAAAAGCTTACTCCTACTCTCTCCAGTAAGCACAGGTTTACTAATTTTTTTGTTGGAGTCACAAGCACAAGTTAAAGACAGTCTAAATGTCTGAATATTACCGAGATCTGTGGGCATCTGGAAGTATAAGGCGGTTGCAAAGACCACAGTATAAAGACCAATGGGAAACAGAAGTAAATTAAGTAGATACAGTAATGAAATGCTACTTGTTAAAAGCTTAAATAAATGAGTAACTAGTAAGGTTGTCTTACTCAACTAATCAAGTTTCCTGTTCATGTTTCATGGACTGAATTATGAAAATTAGAACTTGTTAGTATAATGATATAAAAGCTGAGACAAAGTAAGCTTTGAACCAATCCACTACAAAATAACTTAACCGTTAACTAAAAAAACAATGAAGTTATTACCTTGGAATGTTGCTCTTTTAACTTCATTATTATACTTGGATCATCTTTTTTTCTTGCCATAAGCAACCTAAACATCTGTTCTCTGTACTTGCTCATTATGAGTTCCAAAGCAGATTGATGCTCTTCAAGAGATGTGCGTAGTTCTACCAATATAATTTTAAATTCAGTTAAAGTTTAACAGAGAAGAACTTAATCAAAATGCAAAGTACTTCAGCATGAGAAAACTAAAATAAACCCTTAATTGAGTGTCCCCTCTCCTTGCACCATAAAAGCTGCGTAGGCTCTTCAAATGTCTTCAGTAGTAACTGCCCTGGGAAAATTCTTGTTCAACCAGAAACAGAAGGTCTTTTTTAATATGACTTTATATTCAGTCTCTTTAGCTGACATAAGCCATCTTGAGTGTAGCTGAAGAGCTTTAGCCACTACGAGCAACACTGTACAAAAGCTAGAAAGAAGTTTACAGATTTGTTTTAATCTGAAGCTTGGTAAAATAAGAGTTTAAAAATGCTTGTGTTCAAAATATATTAAGCCAAAGGACAAATAACTCCTGAGATAAGACAAGATTCCTAAGAATCGAGATCACTGACTCCTTTGCTGATTGTAACTGTTAGAATACCTTAGGTATTCCAGGAGGAACAGTATATTCCTAGTGTACAGAATTCCTGAAGGAATTCTACTACTGTACTTACACTACACCTTATCCTGAATGCTCCTAAATCAGTTATTTTTATCAGTGGGAAAACACATTTCCAAATAGATATTTATACTGAAAAATTAAGGTCTATTTATGTCCTCACCTGTGATAAACATTGGATAAGGACTGAAAAAGTAATTTTCCACCACTCTTTGTTAATCATAGTCCCAATAGTTGGACATTGTAAGACTCTTTATTAAATCATATTATGATCAGTTAAACTGACAAATTGAGATGAGAAGAAAAAATTTCTTCAAGAATTTTTTGAGAATAGATCAATGGTAAAAGTCTGACTGATTCCAGTGGTGCAGGCTGGAACTTTAAAAGAATAGAATATTCACATTTTACCTTTATTCTCCTGTTGCAGTTCCCTAATCTGTCTGTTTTCTTGTTGGATACCCATCACTAAAGTAGACCGAGGGCGATGTCTTGCTACTTCATTGAGCTCTTGAATTTCTTCTTGGTACTAGTTATTAAAAAAAGCCACAACATATTTGAGTAACTGAAGGCAAGCATTACACAGCCAGTCACAACGGACCAGTTCTACTATCAAAAGTCCGTAACTAACAAGATAATACTTGGTTTTACATGATAATATCAAACAACCAAACACACTTCTGAAGGTGTCGCTAACATACTGCCCTTTACAAACACCAAAGTATCACCTTTGTTTTTAAACAAGTTTCATGCCTCTGATGTGTGTAACAGGCATTATTTAACCTTCAATGAATGCAGGTCAAATTCACCATCAAGTAATTTAATACTATTCTCCATATGGTAAAGAAAAAAACCTGAGGTATTAACCTCTAAGTATTTACTGTGACTTCCCAATACCTTAAACCACAAGGTGCAAGTCACATGGACTGACTGAATGGATCCTGACTCTCCATAAATGAGTAAATTTAATACCCTTGATTTGAAGCTATGAAGCCTCTGCATGACTAGTTTTATGGGGATGAAGCACATGCAGGATTTTATTATTTTACAGGCCCATTAACTTGTCCTGTGTTCTATTAAAATGACAGGATGAACTCCCAAATGGAAAGTCAGTATACACCTTCACGTTTTCCCAGAAATTCTCTAGTGAAAGTCACATTCAATCTAGCAACATGCCTTGAATAGCTTAACATCAGACTCACAAAAAAGTCTAGGAGGCTACTTTGAAACAAAAGGAGACCGTGAAAAAGTGAAGTATTCTGAACAGAAGAAAGCATGACAGGGGCTCTGTAAGATTAAATATGCATGTTGAACTAAATAAAACAAGTAGCATTTCATGCAAAAGCAAAACACAAGACACCACATAATGGTTTGTAAAAATATCAACCCCATTTCTACCAGTGTTCTTCAAATAAATGCTAGGCTTTTTATATTTAAGTTAGAATAACAGAAAACAACTTCACAGGATCAAACTAAATATCTAAACAACCTATTTTTAGATCAGTCATACTTATAATAAAAATACTTAAATGTGGCATTAAAGGATTATCCAAATAACATACTGATTCCACATTGTTATGGTAGCACACAAATTATTTTAAATTATGTGTTTCCAAGTTGTTCTGTTAATGGAGTAAACAAAGTTGGAAAACAAACCTGTTTCATTGCTTCAACCCGCTTGTTAAGAGCTGTAGTCTGTTCAATAAGAGCTTCTGCTGCATTGTCATGTTCCCTTAGCCGTTCCACCAGTGCTTTTGCATCTGCTAAGGCTTTTTCAATTGTGCAACTCATTTCTAAAGATTAGAAAAGTATTATTTTCACAACACCACCTCTTTGCTATACAGAGAACAGCTATGGGATATATACATACAATTTACCTTTTTTAGTCTAAAGCAGCCAAATACAACCTTTCAGAAAGATCCAGACATTTTGTTGTCTTTTAGGACTAGGAAAAATGATATAATTTAAAAATATGCTAAAGACTGCCTTTCCTTTTCCTCCCTTTTAATTGCTGCTGAGACCATCTATCAGAGTAAGAAAATGAAAGTAAAATTAGTATATTTATACTATCCTCACAAGACGAAGTGCAAAAGGAGGACTATTGAACATATGGAAACTGAGCAGTGCATGTCCTTCTGTAAGTAGCAGAGAAAAAAAATATTATATTAACTATTTAATTTTTCAATGCTACTTTTTAAAAAAAAAAAAAAAAAAATGTGCCCTCCTACCAGTCAGATATACTTCAAGATATTTGAGAAGTATAAACCCAACACAAAAGAGAATGCCAAATGACTACAGTGGGGTGAAGATTTTGATGAATTAAATCAGCAGAGAAGGAACAGCTCAAACTGCCAGAGTAGAGAAATTACTCTGAAGATTCAGAAAACTAAAGGCTTGTGTTTTCTTCATGTCTATAAATGAACACAAACATCAGTGCACAAAATGAAGCTGTAAAATTTGCAGCAGGACAGAGGAAGACAGCAAATTAGCTAAGAAAAAGAACTGACTGTATACTTAAAATACAAGCCTTCTAACTGAAGCAGTTGTTAGCAGAAATACCTATGTGCTAAAATTGCTAAACTTGTACAATGCTTGTACGTACCAAAAATTCCAAAATAATGGCCTCAATACTGAATTTTTTCATGTTCATGCTTGATAGATTGAGTTTCAAGACTGAGATTTTTCAGCCTAAGTTTTTCTTTTAAGAAACCTTGCACTTTTTCCACTGAAAAGGAAATCTCCTTGAACTCCTTAAACTCCTTCAGCAATCAGACAGCAATGACAAAGGTTTATTGGAGTTATGGCCCTTATTGATATAAGGTTTAATATTTGTTTCAGAAAACATTCTAAGGTACTGAAAGAATCAACTAAATCCATTTCTTAGCCAGGCCATTTGGAAAGATTTCTGTAAGCATAAAAGGTCAGTGAGCCTTTCCCGAGGAAAAAAATTTTCTCCAAGTTGATTTTTTAACTTTCTTAGACACCTTTATGAATCATAGCCTAGGATCTTTAAGCCAAGATTAAGAAATCCTCACATTTTCCTCAACTGACCTTTTCCCACTGTCCCAGGTAAGTATAGACATATTTCAAACACCAGAAATTCCACCATTCCCCTCAAAAGATTTACAAAGAGGAATACCCTGCCCTTATGCATTAAGGTGGAGCAAGAAAGCAGCAGAGTTTGGAATGTTCTCTCTGAAGAGTTCTCATGCACACAGAATGTCCTGCAAAGTCTAACCCCTCAAAAGCATTTTAATTTGGTAACTTCACTAGCTGCTCCCTCTGCTCTGAGTAGCACATGTAATACAAAAGCATTTTGTTTACTTTTCCTGTGAAGAAGGATTTTTCAGGGACACCACCATAACAGAAAGGTTGAGACTTACTGATAAAGGAGCTTCAGAAAGTGAGCTTCGCGTATGCACAGAGCACAACTGTTTTAACCTACATTTTCCAATTCATTTACCAAAAGCATCAGCATTTTAGCACGTACAAGTTTCCTGCAGACATTCATAATGCTAATTCCTTCCTGTTTATCAAGTAGACTTTTCATTTTAATTTCATTATGATGTATATATGTATTTGAGGTATCAAGTAAAGTTTTTCATCACACCGGTGTGTTATCATGGGTAGTTAATTTATTCACTCTGCTTTAAGCAGTTTGAGCTCTTTTTCATATTATGTATATTATATAATATTATACAACCATACTGCATTGTTTTTAAGTATCTGCTTTCTTGCTCCTCATTTCTCCTTCCAATTCTGATCCTAGATTCTTATTGGACCACAAAACTATCACAGACAAAAGATAACCTTTAACCTTATTTCTGTAACGATTCAATCAGACCCATATTTAAGGAGAATTTTAAGAGCAATCTTTAACTCAACTCATGGGTCATGAATTCTCTAGCCAGTATAAACAAGGCCTTTCAGGCCTCTCCAAGAATTTGGAATACATTTGGCAGTCAGACTACAATACAGTTAACACCTCATAATTTGTATACATCAATATAATTTTTTTAACACAGTACATATTCATCCTCCCATGCATTTTCTCATTTTGACCCAACCCAACCACACAAGATAAAAAGAAACTCATTTGTAGCAAAGCCATGGGTGTTCTTTTTCACAGCAAATGAGCTGGGGAAGAGGAGAGTGTGCCTTGCATGGAGTGCAGCTGCACAAATTTGTAGTTCCAACCCTGCCAGTGTAGTAGTTTCAGCAGGCCCGAGGACACCTCCTGTTTTCAGGCAGGATTTGTACCTCAAAAAGGAGAATCATTATTTCCATCATGGTAATTTACATCTTGACTAGGATTCCTTTGGGCAGGAGACTGGCCCTAACCCTTGTAATTTAAAATTCTCTCTAGTCGCTCATCTGACTGCCTATGAAAACCAATACTTTTATTCTAAAATAAATCAAAATCTGTGAGTTAATCTGGACATTTAGAGGAAGAAAACCCAACTAATTAAATATATTTGATTTAAAGCAATTCTTATTTTATATATATATATATTTTATTTTTTTTTTTATGAGCATGAGGACTATAGTAGCCAAATTTCATGATTCCTGAATTCTACCCTACAAGAGATGATCAGCTGCAAATGCATTTGCTAGTCTGTAATCTTACCAACAGGGTTAAGAGACAGGAAGAGCAACAACTCAAACATTGCAAGACTGCTACTATATATTAATTTCCTATCACTTCCTGCTATTTACTAATTGTGTTCATTATGAAATTTGGCTGCTCTGAAAAAAAAACCCACCACCACCAAAGAATAAAGATTTTTGCGCAACTATAGCCCTCCTCTAGCTTTTCTGTCTCTTCTTTCTTTCATATCCTTACCAAAACCTACTTTTTTCCTATGGCTTAATGCCCGGGTTCTTCCCTCTCCAGTTACTCGTTTTGCAACGCTGAACCACGCTGCAGTTTCTAAGAGTTTTAGGCTGGGTACAGGCTACGGGCACTGCATGCCTAAAAGGGACCGCTTCCAGCAGTACAGAACGAACAACGAGCCTCCTGCAGCGAGCAGGTCTGGTGCACAAACTGTACCACCGCGGCAGCCGAACCGACCTGCGGCTTCCTCGCCCGCCAGCCGCGAGAGAGGAGCAGGTGGGCGGGCGGCAGCAGCTCCCAAGGAGTGTCGCCTCCTCGCTGCCCCCAGCCTCTTCCCACCGCGAGAACGGATGCAGAGGCACGCCAGTCAGGATTGCAGCGACACCGGCACCTGCCGTGACACGACGGGCTCCCTCACCACAGCCGAGCAGGCAACACTCTCCCCGACCCAGCCCAGCCAGCAGTGCTAGGGGGTGTGAGAGGGGGGAGCTGCTTCCCCTCTTGCTCCCTCTCCCCCCTCGTGACATCACGGCCCAGGGAGCTTCCCGCGTGCCTCAATACAGCCTGTTCGGCTCCCAACCGCCTGACGGCAGCAGCAGCACCTCCACTCCACCCCCTTCCCTTCGGGCTGCCCCCAAACGCCCTCCCCCCCCTTCACGCCACTCACTCATGACCAGCGGCTTCAGCAGCGCCCAGCACCGGGGTTAGAGCCCCCACAGGTCCGCCTCACTGCCAAAGGGCGGCAAGCCGCAGGGGGAAACAGAGGAAGCACGTCCCCACCAGTGGGCGGGACGGCGCGAGGCGAAGGCAGCCACACTACCCACCAGCGGCCCTGGGCGAACATACGCTCAGCCGCTCTCGCGAGAGGACACCATACCACCGCCCCCAGTTCGCTCAAGAGACAACTCCTCAGTTCCCGACCCTCCTCCTCGCCTCTCTATTGGCTATTTCCGACATCAAAGCCCACCCCTCCGCCGCCTGTCCCGCCAGGGGGCGGGCTCTCTAGTCTCGCGAGATTGCCGGCCGCGCGGGCCCCCATCCTCGTCTTTCTCGCTGTGGGGGGGGAGAGGGGCGCGCGTCTGGGCGGTGTTTCGTTGTAGGGCGGCCCGCGCCCAGGTGGAAGGGCTGAGCGGTGGGGCCGGGACGG